ATGTCAAACGGGAGACGTTGCTGTTGCAAGCCAGCCAATAACTCAGCCTGAGCGCTAAGATTTTCTTTTGACAAGAACAGGGTGCGAGCCCGGGACAGAGGAGGATAAGTGAAAAACACAACCAGCACTGGGGAGGAGAGATCGACAATACTTTTTGAGACATGACAACTCGACCAGTTCTAAACTGTTCGCTCTCATACGTTTGCGTGTCATTCCATATGTTAACCCAACGCCCTCGATACTCGCCCTCGTCGTCTTCGTTCGTACCCCCCTTGGGGGGCAGGTCTAAACGAGGGACAAGGGGGAGGGAGAAAGATGGAGCACGGGAACGATGAGAAGGAGGGCAAAAGGCAGGAAAACAAGCACCAACAACGGACGGGCGGGACGGGCGGATAGACCCGAACGTGCGGGTCAGGCGGGCGGGCCCAGACGGCCTGGTCAAGCGGGCGGGTCGCTGAAGCGCCAGCCCTACATGAACCGCTATGTATTCTCAAGCGAAAGCGCGATTCCCAAGCACATCACAAAAACATACCAAAGCGAGAGCGTGATTCCAAAGTGTCGAGGGCGCGGCGTCTGAATAAATCACAAGGGGGTCTCACGCGAAAGCGCGATTCCTGCATAATGTGTCAAACAATCAAGCGCAAGAGCGCGATTTTGAATCAATTATGAAGAAGCCTCAGGCGAGAGCCGTTGTGGTTGTAACTCGGGGGCCGGGGGCCCAATTTGGTGACCTCTCGCTTTCCCCTGAAAAAAACAGAGTGCGAGCCCTGGGAGGAGCACGTTCATTCAAACAAATACAAGGTGCCCCGGAGGAGGGATCAGTAGAAATTAATTTAGATATGCGAGCTTAACAACAGCATCGCCAACAACAACAACAACAACAACGACGACGACGACGACAACAACCACAACAACAACAACGACAATCATGTTAAGACTGTTCGCTATCACTGGCACGCGTGTCTTGCATTATGTATTATACCCCAATTCTTGATACCCGCCCACTTCGTCTTCGATTGCACCCCCTTTCGGGGGGAACATTTCCCATGTCGGCCACTGGCTGACTTGCGAAGAACTCTCGAGCGATGGCGCCGTTCCTGAATTCGGGGGCCTCTCTGGCCAGGGGCTCTCTTAATACCGATGGAGAAATATCGAACGGGAGTCCTTGTCGCCGTGTCTGACCCTCCACCAACTTGCCTGCGTTTCGAAAACATCTCGAGCGAGATCGCCACTCTTGAGTTCGGGGGCCTCTCTGGCAAGGTCCTTTGCGAATACCTCTTGAGAAAAATATCGAACGACAGCACTGGTCGTCGTCGTTCGGCCTCCACCAGTTTGACGGAATCGCGAGAAGGTCTCGATCGAGAGCGCCGTTCTTGAGTTCGGGGGCCTTCCTGGCCAGGGGCTCTCGGAGAAAATCGTGAGGACGTATCGGGCAGGAGACCTTGTCGTCGTGGCTGGGCCTCCGCCAACTTGACTGAATTGCGAGGGCGTCTCGGGCGAAAGCGCCGTTCCTGAGTTCGGGGGCCTCTCTGGCCACGGTGTCTCAAGGTAAGTCCTTCGGAAGTATCGAACGAGGACCCTTGTCGCTGTAGCCAGGACTCCAGGGGCCCATACGTACACTCAAGCCAACGCTCGCGCGGGAGCATCCTTTTCACAGAACATGTAGCTGACGTCGAGGCGAGAGCTCGCGGAACCAACACGTATTCTCTAGAACTGACGACGCAACAACAGTACAACAACTACAAACACCACCAATCATGTTAAGACTGCTCGCACTTATCTGCTCGAGTGTCATTCAGAGTGCATGTCCCGAACCCTCGATACCCGCCCTCTTCGTTTTCGATCGTACCACTTTTGGTGGGTATATGTTTCTCCGTGATTTCCGCGTGATGAGTTAGGAGCTTTCCAGCGAGAGAGCAATGCCTAAGTACATTTGAATAGGTCCCCAGCGATTCCTGAATGGCAAGAGCGCGGCGCCTGAGTAAATTGCGAGGAAGTCTCAAGCGGGAGCGCGATTCTTGGGTAAATTGCGAGGGAGTCTCAAGCGGGAGCGGGGGACCGGAGTAAATTCCGAGGAAGTATCAAGCGAAACCTGTCGTTGCTGTTGTAAACCAGGAGCCAAAAGCACAGTCTGAGGAATACTGTTCCTTCAGAAAAACCGGGTGCGAGCGCCAGGAGGGACATTTCAAATGAAAAAGTGCAATGTGCCCCGGAGGGGGGGATCAACAATACTTATTCTTCGATAGTGAGAGTTCAACAACAACGTCAACACCGCCTACAACACCAACAACAACACTCATGATAAGATTTCGACTTCGATCGTACCCCCTTCGGGGTGTATCTTTCTTGCCTGCGACGTGTGTATGTCGTGCAGCCCCTAAGGCAAGGACAAACACGACGGATGGAAGGAAAGGACAAGGGGGGGGAGGGAGATGGAGCACGAGAGAAAATAGCAGGAGGGGGGCTAGGAGCAGAAAGCACGGTGCAAGACCAGACGGGCAGATCGAGCGGGTAAACCCGAACGGGCGGGACGGGAAGGCGGGCCTAGACGGCCAGGTCGAGCAGGCGGGTTGCTAAAGCGTGCGTCCTGCATGCAGTCGAACGATAGCGCGGTTTCCAATTAAATCTTGAAAGAGATCCACAGCGAGAGCTTGATTCCTGAATGCCGAGGGCGTGGCGTCTGAATAAACTGCAAGGGTTTCCCACGCGAAAGCGTGACACATGCATTAATGTATGAGGAAGTCCCTCGCGAGAACGCGTTTCGGGAATACGTTGTGGGGGGAAATCAGGCGGGAGCCGTTATTGTTGTAAACCAAGGCCCAATGGCACAACTTGAGCAGGAAAACTTTCCCCAGTAAAAGCACAGCGAGCCCCGGAAAAGGCACATCAATGGAAACAATAAGTTACGATACTGCGTGAGGCTTACATAATCCCAAGCGAGAGCGCGATTTCTGAAAATGGCGAGGGCGTGGCGCCTGAATAATGTGGGAGCAAATCATAAACGAGAGCGTGATTCTTTGATACGTTGCAAGGAGGTCCCTAGCGAGAGCGCGATTCCGCTGTACATTGCGAGGAAGCATCTGGCGGGAACAGTTGTTGCTGTTGCTGTAAACTGGGAGCCAACAACACAGTTTGAGCAGGAGTACCTTCTCTGAAAAAAACAAGGTGTGAGCCCCAGAAGGGGCACTTTAATTGAACAACAAATTTGTAACCAGAGGGGGCGAATCAACAGTCATTACTTCTGAATCGTAATTGCACTGTCAACGACAACAGCAACAACAACACCAGCAACAACCTGCTCGCAACAGTCCGCTCGCCTGCCATTCAAAACGCAAATCCAAAACACTCGGTGCCCGCCCTCTTCCTCTTCGATCGTACCCCCCTGAGGGTATACCTTTCATACCAACCGCGTGTTATTGGTGCACCTTCTGAACCAAGGGAAGAGAGGACGGATGGAAGGGGAATGTAGCAGGATGAAGCACGAGAGAACTCAGCAGGACGCGGGGGAGCTGGGAGAAGAAACCATGTGGTGGAACCGGACGGGCAGATGGGGCGGGCAGACCCTAGCGGGCAGGACGGGAAGGCGGACCCAGGCGCCCAGGTCCAGCAGGCGGGCTGTTGAAGCGTGAGTCCAGCATTGATCGCGAGGAAGTCTCGAGCGATAGTGCGACTCCGAAGTAACTCTTGAGAAAAACCAGAGCGACAGCGTGATCCCTGAGTGTTGCGGGCGCGGCGTCTAAATAAATTGCGAGAGGGTCTCACGCGGGAGCGCGATTCCTGTACGCATTGTGGGGAAGTCCTGCGCGAACGCGCGATTCCATTTGAATGTGAGGAAGTATCAAGAGGGAGCCGTTGCTGTTGCAAGCGGGCCAACAACTCAGTGTAAGGCCGAAGAATTTCCTTTGACAGAGAAATGCGAGCCCGGGAGGGAGGACCATAATTCAAAAACACAACCAGCACTGGGAAGGGGAGATCAACTATAATTATTCCTGGAGAAATGAATACTCCATCAATCTAAAACTGTTCGCACTCACACGTTCGCTTGACATTCAAAATGTTAGCGCAAAGCCCTCGATACCCGCCCTCTTCGTCGTCGTTCGCATCGCACCCCCCTTGGGGGCATGTCTTGCTTACCTGCCACGTATTGATGGCGCAGGCCCTAAAACAGGGGGAATTTTGGAATTGCGCTCTGATTTGCCGAGGAGACGGTTAGCTTAGTGCGGCATTCATTAGCTGCTGGCAAGAACGCGCGGTATCTAGCAGCACGGGCGCCAAGGTGTAAATGCTTTGCCCGGTCATACCCATACCACCCCCCACCCTTATCGTCATAAAGCGCACATGGCGCACACACATGACGCTGCAGGAGAAGGGAGGAGGCACGAGGAGTTGCATCTCCGATGCGTCGGCGATGCGGCGACATCCTCCGACCCCATCCCGTCGGACCCCATATGTGAGCCCTAGACTCTCTCGACGCGGAGCACCGATGCCCTGCTCACCGCGGTTGTGCCCAACACGTTCGACGCACCACGGCCATGCGATGAACTGGGAGCGGGGCCTTTAAGAGGGGAAGGGCTCCAAGGTGATCCCTTCCCCGGTCAGGCCTCCCCCAGGGGCTCCTTGCTCCATTCTGGGTAGGGGGCCAGACCACATTGATTTGCTGCTGATGAACCTGAAACTGCTTTCAAACCAGATAACTGAATCCCATTGATGGGTTCCTGGATGTTCCCTGGTATGTGGAAGCAGGCGAAGGTACCCCCCCTGCTCTGGATGCCCCTGGGGACCTCAGGAGTGCGATCCTCAATCTCCTCTACCTCCTCTTCCTGCTCCGAGTCTAGTCGAAAACGAAATTGAGCGGCGAACAAAAACATGGTCGTATGCACGAGGACACGGCGACCTTGGGAAAACTAGGGCGCATCTCCGAGCAAGCGTGAACATCTTGAGACCGTCCTGGATTTGCGGACCAAGAGCCTCCAGGAGCCACCTGCAGACAGTGCGGCTTCTCACAGGTTGCACTGCGCCCAAATGTCCTTCAATGCTTGCCTGTTTCTGCCCTGGCGGCCTCTGTTGGAGCAGCCGGCCCGCGCAGCGGCGCGCGGAGGTGCATGCAATGGATTCCTCACGTGTGCGCCCACACCACTTGTGCGCGGCAATTCCTGATGCTGCGGGCACACGGCCAGGGCGGTTGTCGCCGGTGGTCGCCTTCGCCCCTCCGCCTCTTCGCATCCGCCTCCGTCTCTCGGCGGAGGAAGAGTTGCGGCAAAGGCAGCAGCTCAAAATCGGTCCCTGTCGCCGGTGGTCGCCTTGGCCCCTCCGCCTCTTGGCGTCCGCCTCCACCTCTCGGCGGAGGGCCGGATGGGACAGGCTGCAGCTCAAACTCGGTCCCTGGACCTCCTAAAACAAGGCTAGGATCAGGATAAATCTCTCCAGAGCGTTCCGGAGCGCTCTCAGAGCGTTCCGGAACGCTCTGGAACGGCCGCGGCGCCCAATACATCCTCCACACTCGACGATCCTCAGAGATTTCGAGTTATCCCGATCCGATTTTGTCCCGACCTTCGTGTCGTTTTAAGCCTCCCGATGTGTCCAAGCGCGCCAGCTGCTCCAGCTGCGTCCAGCCGCGGCGACGGAGAGGGGCCGAAGGCCAACCGCCGTTGCCTCCGGGCGTCCTCCGTGGCACCTCCGCGTGCGCGAGGTGCCTCCTCTCGGGGGCCCTGCGCTCGGCCGGGCCGGCGGGCGCAGGCTGCGTGTGAGCCTGCGCCCGTGCCTCGTGCTCCGGGCTCCTCCTCCTCGTCGTCCTCCTGCTCCTCCTCCTGCTCCTCCTCCTCCTCCTCCTCCTCCTTCTCCTCCTCCTCGTCCTCCTCCTCCTCCTCGTCGTCTCCTCCTCCTCCTTCTCCTCCTCGTCCTCCTCCTCCTCCTCCTCCTCCTCCTCGGCCGAGAAGCCCGGTGCACGGACGCTCCAGCTTCCCCAGCCCGTGGGGCGCTGGGGCGTCCGTGCACCAAGTTCCCTCGCCGACTGCCTGCGCCCTTCGGCCCGATCAACGACGCGGTGCATACCTTGGCCTGGGCGCCCACGATGGGTATGGAGAGCAAGTGGGCACGATGCCCAACAGCAGATGTTGCCCAAAACCGACACCGGCCGCCGTCTGGCAGGCGAGGTCATGTCTCAAACGGGCAACGTCCGCGGCGACGCCGACAGCGAATCCGGTTCAGCATGAAAAACAGCTGCTGCTAAACTCTGTCCCAGCGCTTCCGTACTCACTTCGGACCCCCAATACACATCGAGCCCCCAACCAGCGCTTCCTCAGCGATCGGGGGGCCCGCACCCAAAAGTCACTCTGGCGAAAAGTCGCTCTTGCGCATAGCCGACCTCGCCGGGGCCGCGCTCGGCCGGAGCCTAGCCCGCGGCGGCCCAGCTGCTCACCAGCGCACCGCGGCCGCGCGGGCCGCGAGGTGGGCGGAGAGACCCGGCACGACGTCCCGAAGAAGAGAAACATGGCATCAACATACGGTGTGGGCATTGCATGAGGAATCACAATAATTACCCCAGTGCGACCCTACCTAGAAGTTGGAGCCCCTAGGAAAGCAGCATTACTTGCTATGCTGCGCTATGCTGTGCTTTGCTATGCTATGATATGATGTGCTATGCTACGCTGCGCTATGTTATGCTGTGTTAAGCTATGGAATGCTAAGCTATGGTACGTCATACTGTGCTGTGTTATGCTAAGCTATGCGATGATATGATATGCTATGCTATGCGAGGCTATGCGGCGCTATGCTATGCTATGCTCTGCTCTGCTCTGCTATGCTATGTTATGCTATGCTATACAATGCTGCGCTATGCTATGCTATGATATGAGATGGTTGGCTATGCTCTGCTATGCGATGCTAATGCAGCGCTGCGCAATGCTAAGCTAAGCTAAGCTAAGCTAAGCTAAGTTAAGCTAAGCTAACCCTCTAGGCAGAGCCTGGGTAGGGAATTACACCCATGCTGACTACCCGAACAGAAAACTACACTGGCAACGCGGTTGGCACACACGAGCGCCACAAAATACACCCACAGATCCGGGGCAAGAGGACAAGGAGCTGGATGACGGTGAGGATGACGAGGAGGAGCAGGTGGCAGCGGCGGCAGTGGCGGCAGCGGCGGCGTCGCCCACGGATCCGTTTTTTTGTTTGCTCTAGGCGGGGTGGACGACGACGACGACGACGACCGACGACGACGACCGACGACGACGACGACGACAACGGATGCTGTGGTGATGCGATGGTGCCCATGGTGGGGGCGACGGGGGCGACTACGATGATGATTTTCGCCTCTAGGCCCGCTCCGCAATAGTTTCCATGGCCGCGGGCTCCAACTTCTAGGTAGGCTAGCTCGGCATCTGTCGCACATTGCTTTCGCTTTGCCTTTCCTTTGCTTTGCGTTTGCTTTTGCTTTGCTTTGCTTTGCGTTACTTGTGCTTTGCTTTGCTGTCGCTGCTGTTGTTTTGCCTTTGCTTTGCTGCTATGCTATGCTCTGCTTTGCTCTGCTATGCTGTGCTCTGCTATGCTGAAGCTCAGCGAAGCTAAGATGAAGGTAAGCTAAGTTACGATACACCTGAGCTAAGACGAAGCTACGCTAAGCTGAGATGAAATAAGCTAAGCTAAGATGAGATACGCAAGGCTAAGCTAAGGGGACGTAACTGGGGGAACCGCGGGGCGGATACTGGGGGAACCTCCCGGGCCGGTTCCCACTGTCTGGCCCTTTAAGCCAAGAGAGTAAGAACCATTCTAGGCAGAGCCTAGGTAGGGAATAAAGAATCCAGGGTCTGGAAGCACGTGGGACCCCAATCGTGGGTTGGCCATGGATATTACCGCCGCCCTCGTCAGATGAGCAATCCCCCATTGCCTGATCCTCCTGGGCGCATTCCTTAACGAACGTCCCCCCCGTAAGCTGTGGGAGCTCCGCGCGGAGTGCTTGGAGCTGCGCTCGGGCCCCCTCGCGCCAGGGGAATCCAGCGCGGATCCAGCCAAATCCGTGAGCAACTCCGAGAGCGTATGTCTGTGCCGTGGTTTCCTCTTCGGATGTCGTCGTCGCTGTCGCTGTCGAGGTCCGCCCAGCGCTTCTCTAGAGGCCTCCCAAAAGAGATCCGAGACAGGGTCGGCAGATCGCGCCACATCGCCGATGCAATGCCGATGCATCGCCGATGCGTCTGCGACATCGGCGACATTGGCAATGCATCGGCGACGCCGGCGTGGAGAAAGCCGGGCTCCACATCGAGCTCCATGCCCGATGCATCGGCGATGCGGGGCGGTCCGTCGACCACAGCCGATTGGAACGCGTCCCTGGCATCCACCGGTATGGTATTTCTCGGTCCGCGGCCCCAGGCGTGCCGGACCCCTCTCGGCTACACGCAGGAGCGGCCCCGGACAAGAGTGGCCTTTGGTGCGCGGCTTCTCGGAGGCCGCGGGGGGGGGGGGCCAAACACAAGCGCGCAAGACGCTACTATCGCACCGCGTTCGGCGATCGGGGGACTCCAATGGGCCCGCACCGAAGGTCACTCCGGCGAAGGGTCACTCTTACGTGTAGCCGACCTTCCCCAGGGCTAGATCTTCGTCCTGGAGAATGTTTCATGGTCCCAGGGCCCAATGACGGCCGCTGGTGGCCGAAGTACACGAGAAACGCCCGATTTGAAAAACACGAATCGACGCTGCTCGATGCTGGTAGACGCTGTATCGACGCCGCATCGGCGCTAACTATGCGCCGTCACGTCGATTACCAGGCGCTGGCGCACGCGAGTGCGCTCTAAAGACGGCGTTCCGAGGACGCGCCAGGCCCCCCAAGGTTGGTCTAAAGACGGCGTTCCGAGGACGCGCCAGGCCCCCCAAGGTTGGCTACGGCAAATCCGCGTCGTGCCGACAGTAGCGCTTGTTCCTGGCAGTGCGGGTCGGGCGTTGGCAGAACTGGGTTTAGTGGGACCTGGTTTAATATTGTGTACTGGGGGGCGCCCCCCCCCGTTCCAATCCACTAACCGGAATTGCTGTCACCCGAAAAACACCAGCTACGGCAAGCCTGGTTTAATGATTCCAATCCGTATTTTGGACTTCGGGGACCATTCGCTAACCAGCTCCCCTTGACCGGGGTCCTGGCTATACCCGATCCTGGCAGTGTGGGGGTCGTTCAACCTCGAACGATCGGCCGAATCTGAAACGTCGGACCGTTCAACATCGACAAGTCCTGGGTCGCTTGCGGCGTTTAACGTTGAACGCTGGAGCGGGGTCGCCGTGTCATGCCGACCTTAGCGCTGGTGGCCTGGCACTGCGGGGGTGGTTCAACCTCGAACGATCGGCCGATTCCGAAATCTCAGATCGTTCGACATCGGCCAATCCTGGGTCGCCGGCGGCGCTCAACGTTGAACGCTGGGGGCGGGGTCGCCGCCGGTCGGCACGGAGTGAACCTACCGTACCGACATCGTCAGAGATCTGGAGCCCTGCACCCCAAGAAAAACACCCTGAACCAAACATTAATGAATCAGAGAAGCGTTCCATCTCTTGGTCGGCTGCACGCAAGAGTGACCCTAGGCAAGAGTGACCTTTGGTGCATGGCTGAACGAGGGGCGCAGGTTGGTCAGACCTGGGCGCGCAAGCCGCTGCCGACGCTTCGCGTTCAGCGGTCGAGGGGCCCGATTGGGCTTGCAACGGAGGTCACTCTGGCGAAAGGTCACTCTTACGTGCAGCCGACTTGGGGGGCCGATCTGTACCTCCGCCGCCCTCCGCGGGCCCCGTCCGCCGCCTCCGCCAAGAGAACAGGGCATCAACTCCTTCGCTCCTTGAAGACTGGGTAAACCAAAAGGTGCCGATACCGCCACTCCCCCGACCTCGCCCGGGGTGCGTGCTGACCAGGATTTCGAAGCGACTGCAGCGGCGGCGACGGGGGCCTCCCAGGAGGCCCCAGAAGGGCAAAAACGAGGGAAGAGTAGGGGTATGAGTACATCTTCCTCCTCCGACCTCCCCCCCCGCCCCCGAGACCGCACGACTCGGACCTCGCCCGGGTTGCGCCCCGACCAGGATTGCGAAGCGACTGCCGCGGTGGCGACGAGGGCCTCCCAGGAGGCCCAAACAGGCGAGAGAACGAGGCGAGGGTGGTGGCATCGGTACCTCTGCCTCCTCTGGGAGGCGAGGCTTATGTTGCTCCCATCGTACTTGAGGACCTCTTCCCAGATGCGATTTCGAGCATCCAGAAAGGTATCGAAAAAGTGTCGAACGAGTATCGCCTCCCAGGGCCCGACGCGCGACACCCCCCCCAGTTTCGGTACTTTTGGTGCTCGGAAGTCTTCCTCGCGATCAAGGCGAAAGAAGGCTGGGCCATCATCAGGCGAGGCCCTCTCTTGCATGCCTCAAATCGAAAAAAAACTACACAGACATGAGCTCGCGACGGTCCGCGCGGATCCGCTGGATCTGCGCCGGAGCCCCATCCCCGGCGTGCGGAGCGCGTGCCGAGAGGGGGGCCCAGGCGCAGCTCCAGGAAACCCGCGCGGAGCGCCAAAAGTCTAGACGCGTGCCGTTGGTCTTCTCCGAGCACGCCGTGGGAGATCTGGGATTTGGGAGGCCTCGATTCTTCGCCTCGCCGGCGCCACCCGCGCGGGCGGCAGCCCGGGCTGCCGCCCCCGCCGCGGTGTCGGCCTGGCAGGCGGCGGCGGCCCCGGCGACCGGGGACTGGCAGGCCCGCGCCAGGGACCGCGGGGTCTCCTCTCGCGGGCCGGGGGGGGAGGTCGGAGGAGGAAGAGGTACCCATACCGCTGCGGTGCCCGGACAAAAAGTGTCCACACCATGGCGGTAAGGCGATGCACCAGGGTGGCCACCACAACTGCGAGATGCCATTGCTTCGCACCGCTCCCCCCCGAAACCAAAGTGGAAGTGTCCACATTTTGTCCCTGGCCTGTGGCCTACCACCCACACCCATCAACTTCGAAATTGGGGGAAGGGGGTATACATTCTGGTCCGCCGTGCTTTACTAACTCAAGGTCTTGGCGAGACACGTGCGGACACTTTTAGTCCACCCACTGTACCCTT